GAGAGAGAGAGAGAGAGAGAGAGAGAGAGAGAGAGAGAGAGAGAGAGAAGAAACTTACATACTTAACATTAAAATAAACAACCACTTCCCCCTAAAGTGAATATTGGACTAGAGACAAGTCGATGCTGACAGGTATAAACTCCTCTTATTATTGTGTGCTCCGCTCTGGCTAGGGTTAGGGGCCTGTGCCGCCCACGTGGGTGTGTGGTGCCCCCCCCATAAACCCTGTACCTGTCTGCTGCCCTTACTTGCTCCAGGCAGAACTTGAAGGACAGGGCCAGGGAACATCTTCCTGCTGACCTCAGCCAGGACTCTGCAGCTTTTAGTGTCCTCCCAGAGAGCTCTGCCTCAGAGAATATTTCCCTGTGGACTTATTGAACAGGACCACCATCAGCTCTAGAGTGATCCTCTATGTTCCAAAGCCTGATATTCATGCATTGTGTCTGGGCATCCTGGATACCTGATTGACACAGGATATGCTAAATAAAGTTGTGTCTGGTGGGAAGAGAGGATTCTTCTCCTGAGGTGGATGCCTGGTGGTGCCCTGTGGGGGGTGGGGGATTCTAACAGTGTCTGGACTATATGTGTGTGTGTGTGTGTGTGTGTGTGTGTGTGTGTGTGTGTGTGTGTGTGTGTGGGGGCACCTTTAGCAAGCAGCAGGCAGGCCTGATCATGTGCAGCCAGTGGTGGGTAAATGGCTGCCAGCCACCATTCCCAGGACCTGTTATAGTCTGAGCAGGCCTTTGTAACTGTCCTCATTATTTTGTGATACAATAAATATTAGTCCTGAAAGATGATAAACAATAGAATTTTTTAGATTTTTTAAATTTTAATTATGTGCATGTGTGTCTATGTGTGGTATTATGCACATGAATGCACATGCCCACAGAGGTCAGCCAGAGGTGTCAGATTTCCCAGGAGCTGAGGTTATAGGCAGCCTGATGTGGGCACTGGGAATTGAACTCAGGTCCTCAGGTAGAGCAGTATATGCTCTTAACCACTGGACCATCTCTCCAGCCCCTAATTTTTTTTTTAAACTCTAGCCTGGAAAGTTCATGATTGAGCCTCAGCTGACCTAGTATCTGGTGAGGCTGCTGTTGCTTCCAGAGGGTATCTCACTGGGTCCTCACACAAGAGAACAGTCAGGAAGGTGGGCAGTCTGCATCCCTCCAGGCCATTTTTATAGGGACAGAGCCTGGAGACCTGATTACTTCTAAAGTAAACCTCCCAATGCAGTCCTCTTGGGGGTTAGGTTCTAACATGAATTCAGAATGCACCAGTAATCAGTCAGCAGCAGAAGCCAGAAGGGTTGGTTTCCTGAGTCCTCCATGCTCAGTGCTTAGCTAAACACTAGTCTAGAGGGCACTGTGGAGGCCCTTTAAGAGGGAAGATGCAGTAGGACCCAACAGCAGAGCCAGACAGACCTCAGGGATCCACTGAGAGAGGTTGTTAGATGGCTGTTCCCATGACACAAGCTTTTCCCTATCAGGGCTCCCAGGCATTGGAACATCTACTCAACCAGCTGACATCCTGCGGTTGCTGAACATGGCCTGGGCAGGAGACTCCACGGCACTCAAAAGCAAGGATCCAGGAAGCCTCTCATTTAGTGTGGATTATGACAGACAGCAAGGGCCCTCAGGGATTTGGATCCCAGGGAACACCCCACATGAGTACAGAGTCTGTCATAACCTTTTAAATGTTCCTCTACTCACCACTCGCTTCAAAGTACAGGCCATGTGTCCAGGGCCTCTAAGAACAGAGAAGATGGTGGGAATGTTACCCTAATTCAACCCGAAAGGAGCAGACAGGGTCAGGGCAGCTTTTTGAGGGGGGACCAAATCCAACAGACACCTTACTTGTCCCTGAGACAACTGCTTGCTCTACAGCCCAGAGTGTGCCGTATCTCAGCCATAGCCTGGGGACAGAATAGGTGAGCGGTATCCAAATAGTCCCAAGTATAGGGACAGTCATGGAGCGAGCTTCTCTTCTCTGAGTCCTATGAGGTCTTCCAGTGTACCTGCCAATAGGCCAGGGCAGGGAAGTTCTGAATATACCCATGACCTCAACTCACCCCAGCCACACATCAGATTCCTGTTGGGAGACGTCACACCCTAATGGGTGATGCCTCTGTGCACAGGGCGGGGCCTTTGTGTGTGTGTGTGTGTGTGTGTGTGTGTGTGTGTGTGTGTGCAGCTAGCTCGATCATTTCACTATCCTTCCTGGAGCCACGCTGTGAGGCTACTTAGGAAATGCCAGGCCTCTTCCTGGAGCCTGGCGGCATCTTTCAGTGTATCAATTTACTCATTGCCTTGACCAAACTCCTGCGGGAGGAAGGGTTCATTTCAGTTAGAGGGACACAGCCCACCATGGCGCAGATGTAGTGGCAGCAGGAGCTTGAGGCCGCTGGTCACATTGCACCCACCGCTGAGAAGCAGAGTTGGGCATGCCAGTGCTCAACTCAATTTCTCTTTGTGTGAAGTCTAGGACCCCAGCCCATGGACTGGTTGGTGTTGCCCGCAGTAAAGTGGGTCTACGTACCTCAATCGACATAACCTATGTAATCCCTTAGTCATGCCCAGAGGCTAACCTAACCTACATAATCTCTCACTGGTGTTCCTAGAGGACTGTCTCCTATATGAGTCTGGATCCTGTCAAGTTGACGACATGAACTGTCACGGCAGTGATTGCGGCCATGAAGCACCCTGTTCTCCAAAGTGCAGGCCCAAGCTGGTCCTTAGCAGTGCCAGCCCTTCCTGAATGCTCCTTGTGTTGTGGCTCTGTTCTCATTTAAAACTTGTTCTTTATAAGCTATGAAGAAGCATAAGGATGGAGCTGAAGAGATGGTTCAGTACTTAACAGTACTTCCTGCTCTTCCAGAAGACGTAGGCTCAGCTCCCAGGCCCCGTGTTGAGGTGCTAACAACCGTCTGTAATTCAAGCTCCAGAGATTTAATGCCGACTTCTGGACTCCTTGGCACCTGCACACACCGAGAACACATATTCTTACTGTAAATAAAAATAAATCCTTAAAAAAGAGAAAACATAAGGAAACATTCTTAAAAGAAAATTAAAATTACCCACATTCAATTTACTAGAGATGAAATCAGTTAACCACTTTGATGTATTCCTTTAGGGGACGTGTGTGTGTGTGTGTGTGTGTGTGTGTGTGTGTGAAGGCAGCTGAAAAAAATCTGAGCATAACATCATTTTACTTCGAGCATTGAGGTTTGTTTACACAAACAGGGCTGTTTAGGGCAAATTTTACACTCAGTGGTCCCTGAGTTGGTCCTAGTTGGCCGTTTGGTTATTTTGTACTGAGTCACCCACTGATGGCATATCCTGCTGGAGTGTAGCCCCCAGAGAGGGTGTCCTGTACTTCCTGGCTCCAGGTGAAGTCATGTCTAAGGTTCTGGTCTAAAGGACCAGATGGACTGCTAGGAAACATAGATGCTCCGGAAAGATATGCTTGCTGGGGATGTTGTATCCCAAATGCAAAAGAAATGGCAGACACAGCATTGAAATGAGAACCATGACATTTCCCTTTCTCTCCTGGAACATTAAGAGTGACATACGCTCAGTGGAAAAATCACAGGAAAATGTCAGTTAAGTAAAAACTATTTCCCTGATCCTCCTACGCGGAGGGTGGTTGTCCTTTTAAGCCCTGTCACTCCCCTCCTTCTCCCCCTTTCAGGAGCGGGGGAGGAGGGTGGAGGCTTCAAGCTTCCTTACTTAGTGGCCACCAGGTCTTAGCATGTGACTTGCGTTCCCTGAGCCTTGGCCCATTGCAGAAGAGGTGTGAAGAGGTTTTAAGGAGCCAACTGCAGTGCGTTGGTCTCCAAATGCCACACAGGAGGCATCTTCCCACAGAAGCTGATGCATACCCTGGGCCTTTTTGAGTGACCCCCTGGCATTCCACTGTGTGGGTGCTGAGAGTTACATAACCTGACTTCCATGGCTGGAAATTTAGATGGCTTTTAGATTTGACTGTTATAAGCAATCCGGTGATAAGTGGTCTCCTGGTGAACTGTTTATACTAGTCTGTGGCTCTTTCTGGGCACGACCTCCCATCTAGGGAGTTGCAGGTTACAGGGATGCAGGGACCAGGCTTTGAAACAGTTTGCCTGTGCTTTCTATGCAGACCACTTAGAGCATATTGCCTCTACCAGCCCTGCTTCTGTCTGGGGCAGGATGTGTGTAAGTGTGTATGTGCACCACAAATGTTCATGTATATGTCCTGTGGACCATGTATGTGTGCTGTATTGACTTTTACAGGAAGTCAGCCCTGAGAAACAGTTGGGAGAGGCACTAACGAAAGGTAAAGCAGGGAGCAGGACTTGGTATGGGGAGACTCAGACCACCATGAGGGTCTGACAGCAGGGCAGTCAACATGAGGAGGGGTTGAGGAAGGGGCACCTGTACAACTGCATGGTCAAGTCGGGGCATGCCCAGTGTGGTATTCAGTCTAGGCCAGGGCCTGCTGGGAAGAGTGTGGCCTCAGTACGAGGGTACTGGATTCTGATGCTTTGCTGGCAGACAAGTTCTGCTTGAAGGGAAGCTGTACATCTACACAACACTTGGTTAGTCCAGTACTCTTCATGTGCAAGTCGGTGGCTACTCATGAGATAATGACTTCATAATTACTGAGCCACTTGACTTCCCCCTGAAAGCCCATCCAAAAAAAAAAAAAAAAAATTCCCTGATGCTTACATTTTCTTATTTATTTATAGGATGCCTTTGTATATTTCTTCTACTTTGGGACAAAACTATTTATTTTAGGAATCTTAGAAGTTGAGGCAGCGTGTGGTGGTTAGATTAACTCAGGCCTTGGGCTCAGCTGTTTGAACAATTTAGTAACTTTTCAGCCATTTTCACCTCCGGAGTCTCAGATTTCTTCATTGCCTGTTTGGGTGCTAGCTGGACCAGGCATCTGGAGCCAGGAAGGGAGCGGGTATCCTCAGACTGTAGGTAAGAGTGAGGTCTACAGGCATCGTCTACAGAGGCCAGCTGTGAGCAGCCTCTTTGCTATTGCGTATGCATCTTAGAATTCCAAACAACTCAGGTGACATGGGAACTCCTGAAACTCAATGATGTCACAAAAATGGGCAAAGGACTTGAGTAGACCTTCATGTCATGGGAGGGTGCTCCATCCACTGCAGCCTCCTAGTGGTCCCCAGGGCACTTTGGAGTCCAGGAAATTGGAAAGATCAAGCAGGAATATGAGTCACATGGCTTGGGCAGTTGGGTGAGGTCAGAGCACCCTTCCGTGGACTCCTTGTTCTGTACTGGTCCTGAGACGAAACTCTTTTCTGCCAGGATTGTGTGGAGGGGTCTGTTAGGAGCTCTTTCAAGTTTTATTCATTCATTCCCATCCTGTGGTGGTAACAGGAAGGGCACAGGTAGAGACAGTGCGATGGGAAGTACACACTCTTGCTTTACCCATGGGGTGGGGTGGGGGTCAATAATAGCAAGGAGGGGCAAGGAGAAAACTTAGGGTTGCCTCTCTCAGCGCCTCCCATACAGAGTAAGCTGCAGAGACGTCTGTGCTGCTCAAGCTGTTGGTAAAGGAGTGAGCTCAAGGTCCAGAGCAAGCTCGTCCCCCACAACTGTCCTGAGAGGCTGTGATCAGCAAACCAGCACACCAGCCAAGACTGCCTCCTCCCACGCAGGCTCCTCCACGCCTGTCCAGTCGCTGTGACCTTGATGGAGTGAGTCTGCCGTCTCCCAGCCCAGGGAGGGTTCTGCTAAATCTAGCGATGCTGCTCTCCCTGACAGGTGACACAGTCAAACACCCACCATAATCTCTGACTGCTCAGCACCCCATCAGATGGTTCGGAGGTGGAAGCAGGAATGGGGGCTTGCTCTGCCTGATCTCCACTTCAGTCTACTCGAGAGGTTCCAGAAGAGCGCTCTCTGACTCGTGTGCGGAACGCTTGGAACACTTAGTTCCCAGTTGATTGCACTATTTTGGGAGGGTCTACAAACGTCAGTAGGTAGTAGACCTCGTTGGAGAAACAGGTTACTGGGGACTGTGCCTTTGAAATTAAATCTGTTCCTTTCTCATTCTTTGTTTCATGTGTGTCTTGAGGCAAACAACCTACTCCTGTACACACACTCCCACCATCACAATGGTCCTGTCCAAGTACACAGGGCCAAGTGACCATGGACTGAACCGTGAGAAACCATATCCCATTAAGGCTTTCCTCCTGCAACTTGTTCCTTTAGACATCTTGGTTCACAGTGACACAGGGAAAATTAATATAGGCCCAAATGCTGTGCCCACCATCAGATCCTCCATAGGACCCAGGTTCCCACTGCTTTCTCTGGGAACATCCCTACACTGTCCACTCCATGTTCTTTGGACCCTGCCAAGGTGTAGATCCTGCTCTCCGGACTCCTTTCCATCCTCGGCCATCACTACTCTGCATGTTCCTCATACTGGCTGCCAAGAGATGCTCAATTCCAGCTACATCTCCAAGTGAACATCTGTACCAGGCACCGTTGTGAGCCCTGGAGACACATTCCATCCCTGGAAGGTAGTTCAGCCTAGGGAACAGTTAAGCAGCAAACAATAGGCCCTTAGGAATGGCCCCAGTGTTACCCCGCCAGCCTGTGGCCTGAGTGATGAGGGGAAGAGAGGTTTAATGATCCAATATTAATTTTTCTCAAAAAAACAAAAGTGAAACAAAGCACACTAGTTAGTATTTGGTCACTGTGAAAAAAACACCTGAGACAGTGAGACGAGGAACAGTCTGCTCTGGCTCACTGGACTCAGAGGCATCAGTCCATGGTGGGTTAGCTCTGTGGCTGTGTCAGCTGAGGATATGCCTGGTGTATATAGCAGAGACACATGCTTACTATTTAGTTACCGTAAGCCTAGAGTGAGAGGAAGGGACTAAGGTCCTGATAGCACCCCCAAAGGCACACCCCACTGATCTACTTCCAGTAGGCCCCTTCTCCTAAAGACCCTGATATCTTCCCAGAGCACCAAGCTGAGGACCAAGCCTTCCTCTCACAGTCACTGAGGAGGCCATTCAAGGCTCAGACCATAGTAGTGGGAACTCAAATAGCACAAAACATTAGGGGGAGAACTGCCAGGTTTCCCCGGCCCTCAGCACAGCAGCCTCTG